GTTATGTATGTATATTGTATAGCCATAAATTACCACCATTTCTAAGCCAGATTTTTCTTCTGTTCTTTGAAAATTGATATACTATGCATTCTTGGGCATTTCTGAGAAAACCCGCAAAACGAATTCGAGTTCTCGCAACACAAAGTAGGAATCAAGTTTTCAGAAAATCATCAGACAATCCATTATTATTGGAATCAAATGGTAGTAAAAGTTATAATTATGGTGATAATGAGAAGGGTTATTCATTTCTTGAGGCAGTTTTGAGATCATTTTTTTCTGGGTTGGGGATTGTTGGGGCCTTCAGCTACTGTTCTTCATTCTCTAATGCAGATTCATCATTTGTGTCTTATGCTGATTCTGGAATTGGGACTCCCGAACCCGAAAAGAAGTCTAGTTTCATCTTCAAAGGTATAATATTTACGGGAATCACGGATAATTATCTACATTCAGTTCTTTTTTGTCTATAAGATTTCGCAGCATTAATTGATGACGAAGTTTGATAATTACATCTCGATTAGGTCTCTAAAAATCAAGATTTTGAGCGTACAATCTATAGTCAATTCCTGTGATTTCTTTGAGTTTCTACTCTAAGGAATATAACAGGTTGTGGATTAATTTGTTATTGTAGGTTTCTGTTATCATTTACTTATCGTTCTAAAATTTCAGATACATTCAGGAGAAAAGTTTTCTTCAAGTATGAAAAAAGAATGAGAATGCGAAGTCCTCCTGAAAAGGTTCGTTATTCTTTGATTTTTAACTTTAAGGTTGTTTGACAAAACTTTTATGAAAGTTTTAGCCGATTTTGAAAATAATTGATGAAATGTGCAATTAAAAATTTATTAGTTTATTACTGTATCATGTGTAATGACCAAAAAAGAAAAATTATCAGTTGCATTGTGAGAATAATTTCATGAATTACTGGCCCTGTTCTCTTTACCGTTTTCGGGTCGTTTTCTGTTTTCGATTTTTCAAAACGGTGAAAACGTGTTCTCTTTCCCGTTTT